GATTGCAACATATTTACATAAAGAACAAGGTCAACCTGAACTGGCGTATATCTATGGCTGAAGCCAGTAGATTTAAGTGAAGTCGATGAAGTACAACTGAAACTTCTGATAGTTGTGTTTCCATCCAAATGTATCACACATTTTAACTAACTTTTCAGAATATCTGCCAAAGACTGATAGGAATATGTAGGTTCAATGATATGACCAGTAGGTGGTGCTAATTATCCAGTCTGATGCCCTTATATCTCTGCAAAAGTAAAGGGCGCAACAAGGATGATTTAATTAAGTTCAAACAAAGAATGTGATGGACTTGATGGAGAAATCACTGGTTCGTATGATTAAAAGTTACGTTGCAGTCTCCTTATTGTTCCACAAGTCTGATGTTCTCCTGGATGTGAAGCTTGAGTGACAGTTCTTTCTCTCTTAATTCAAGAGTGTGATTTTTCACTCTCACACTCTTTCTTCATTTCATGTTCAGGCTTCCTTTGTTTTGCTTTTTCCTGAAGACCCTGTCCCCTCTCTCAAATAATCCCTGCTCGTGTGGTAAAAACAGTTTTTCTGCACTCAGATAAACTGTTGCTGCAAAATTGCTTTAGTTTGAGGCCTTTCCCCCCCATGGTCAAGCTGTCTGTTTTCGTTCCTGCAACTTCTGCTCTCAGATTTCTTCTCTTGCTTTTGGATCTTTACGAAATGACCCTGTCAAAATTCTCCGTCTAACAGATTGCCATGCTTGACATTGACCAATGAAATTTTCTGTGCCTCATTGTGAGTATTCACATGAAGAAAGAATGTCCTCTCTATGAAGTACCCTGCTCTTGATTAAAGATTGGACAGAAACTCCTTAGACGACTAGAATGGCCCTCAGTAGAGCACCTCCCTCTGCCAAGGCCCAACAGTGCACTTCTGAAACCACTTTTAAATTTATATTCACTATTTTTATATGGATCTGCACCACACACACTCAGAAATATTTTCCCCTTAAATGTGAAGAACCATGAATGATTCTCTCAAAAATTCACGAAGATATTGAAAAATGCCCTTTCTCACAATGTTAACAAAAGGAAAAGAAACCCCCCCTGGATCTGCCTCAAATTTAAATGGGTTCTTTGTTGGTCTATGTCTCATCCTTCCAGCAGATATTATGGAAATCTGTTCCTTTGATTTTGTGTATTGTTGCTTACAAACATACAAACAGGCAGGGGTGAAAACAACCTCCTCATGGAGATAGTGAAGTCATGTGATTTCTGTATGTCATTATTATTTATTCGCTGTATCTGTTTCTATTGCACTTTTAATCACATTTACCTTTTATTAATTCAGCGTAAATAATGTTTGGGGGTAAATTTAGGCTTTTCCACTCAATTTTTTGAAATAACTTTTAAAAATAGCTAAATAGAAACACAACTAAGGAAACATCAACCACATAGTTAGTGTCGAGCCGACACTGAAGTGTCCTAAAATGGTCATAGTTTTCGGTTCTTGCTTGATGACACCATACATAATTGAACACATGCAGAAAAAGCATGTCTGTGATTTGGTCAAACCAGTCTGCTATCTTCTTCAGGATGCCCTGAAAGTTAGGAAAAGCAAGAGCAGACAGACCCTGGACATGTGAAGGCACCAGACGGTGTTTCTCTTTTTTAGTTTTTAGTTCTCCTTGTTAATTGTGGCTCCAGGGTGCTGCAGACAGCCAGAAGAACTGCTGAGGGCAATTTTAAAATTCATCAAGTTGTTCATCACTCTCAGACATTGGCTCAGTCCACAAATTCATGCTCTCTCCAATGGCTGCGTCGGTCACAGCAAATTGGCCATTATTGAGTTTGGCTGCAAACTTGTTGGTCTTAATTATAAAAGCATTCAATCATTTCAGTGTAATATGTTTTGTATGTTTCCAATTTAATAAAAGTGGTAATTAAGTGTTTTAATTTGACCATATACTGTTTTTTAATATGGTAAATGGCAGTAGTTTATTCAGCCAATAAACATTTATAGATACCATGACATCTGTATCTGCGGACATTGATTCTGCATTAAGAATAAAAGCAAACTTTGAGTTCACAATCTGATTATACACACTTTTCATGGATTGAACCCATTTTCTGTCCTCTGTAATTCCCTAATGGTCTCTATTCTCATACCTAACATCTAAATGGAGATCACCAACATTCATAAACATGTCTTCTCATGGAAAGGGAAATGGAGGCGACTGATAAAGAGGACAGGGAATGGAACGGTTCTTCTATACCTCATTTACCAGCAAACCGCTTAGTGAGGCCATTGGCATTTCCGGGGTCAAGAGGGCAAAATGAATGTTCTTCATATCCTATGGTGTCTCGTAAAAAGGAGACTATTGGCAAACGCATGCATGCACACAAACACACACACACATGCACGCACACACATGCATGCACACAGTCTTACTCAGTCAGTTGTGATTTATGCCGAGACCTCTTGGGGCGGCAGTCATGGGCCGTTAACTCTGTCACAGCAGAACAGGAGAGAAATAACTTCATGGATGTGGATATTGAGCAACAGACATTAGCACAGAGGGCCAGAATAACAGGAAACCAGCCTTGACCTCCGGGGTGAGGGAGGGAATGAGAGATGGCAAAGGAGCATGGATGACTCTCCGTCTTGATTCGCTACAAAAGCTGTGGTCCGAAGCTGAGAGGGATAAGAAACAGAAATGACACCCTTCCCCCTCACATCCTTTTCCAAATTAGTACCAAATGTGTCCTTAATTTGATGGTGGGAAAATAAAGGGAGGAACGGTGGCCCTGAAGTACAAAATACTGTGGCAATCAACAAAACACAAAAACAAATCTCAAAAAATGAAATAGGACAGTTAAAAATAAAAAACACAAAATCAGAAAACACAACGATAAAAGAGAAATTGTAATGACAAATCCGAAAATATGACAAATAAGAAAAACAATCAAAAATGAGAAAAATACAACAAATCACAAAACACAATGGCTTTACCTTCGAACTGAAAAAGTAGGTGCCCGCCATAAACATGGCTCCTTGCTGATTGGATGGATGCATTGTCCACATGTTTTGTGACTTGTTATCTTTTATTGTGATTTGCACCTCAGGGCCATTGTAGTCAAAAGTTACTCAATGAGCACCATCAGACAAAAACTATGATCAAATTAAAAGTCTCTTTTCATCAGTGATATTCATAAAACCATGAAAAAGAAAAAAGAACACATTTTGTAACATGTTCTCACGCCCTCGTCTTTGCTGTTATTCATTGCATTCATCACTTTCTACCCCACTTTATCTGTCCATCCCCCTCCACTGCCAGTGATGACATCGCCTCGACCAAGGTCTTTGATTAGTGCCGCTGCTAAATAAGGCACATCCTGTTGACCTTCCAAACGTTGCAATTTCCTATTAACCCATCCCTCTCTATTCCTCTTTTCTTCTCTCATCTCGCTTGCTATACTCCACACCTCCACCTCCTCTCTTTCTTTCTCTCCCTGAGGGATTGATGCCTGCTGGGTAAACAGACCAAATATATCATAAAAGTCAGTGAAGCACTATGTCATGCAGCATTTCCTCACTAAATTAGATGCTTCTGTTATGGTATCACACTTGCTTGCTCGCTTGCATGCCTCACCACCAACTGTTGGGTGTGATTGAGGCATGCACAGTGGATGCTCAGGCATATATATTGCTTATATTCATCTTGCTGTAGATATGCTTATCTAGTGATTAGGCAGAGGACAGAGTGGGTTGGACTGGTCCCATGAGAGCCCACTACATCGTGAGGATGGATTGGCTTAAAGGCTTCATCCTGAGGTGTAAATCAATGTTTGAGACCGTGGCTACACCCATATTACTACGTTTTCAAACAAGCGATTTGGCTCTGTATCAGTTTTAATTCCCATCCATACTTACATGCCTGAAAATGCATATCATGTAAGTTGTGTCATTGTAAAATGCTGAATTTAACTGCACAACAGCTGTTTGCAAAGACAACAGGGTCAGCGACGTTTGTACTTGATTATCCACACTGTGTTCTGCACTGGTAACCAATGCTGGTTGTTTTCATCTGCAAGGAGGTCATGTGATAGGAGACGAATCAGCGAAGGCTACGTCTTGACCGAAAAGACCCAATCAGCAAGTGGTTGTGGTGCAAACTAAATCAGGGCCAGCAGAATTACAAACTTCTCAGTTTTTGCGGCTCTAGAACTCGAATGAATGAATATATCCGCCACGGTGTGTACAACAAAGCCATAAGTTCCTAAGGACTTCCATGTCTTATCAGAAAAGATGGGAGATGGGCCAGGAAAGAGTTCTCTGATTGAGCTGGAAAAGATATTTGACCCTCTGCATTCTGTCTCCACTGTTCTTCTTGAGGAAAGAGGAAGTTTGCCGCAGCATATTTTGTACCCCGCCAATAACCTTAGGCAGGTTACAGTGAGCATGTGCACACGCTGCACACACTCACGGCAACCCAACACAATAGAACACACAGCATAGGTCAAACAGCAGGCATTGATCCAGCCTCCTTAGTCACAGATCCCCAGGTTAAACAGCAGACTCACATTAGAGAGCGTAGTGTGCAGGCTTGATGGATGACTGCAGCACAGTGTCCTGACACGTCTGATAAACGTGAGCCATAAGATCCGTTTTTTAAACAATATAGTCCTACCCACACATTTAACATCCATCCTCGGAGACCAGGGAAAAAGCTTTTATGGTGACTAATAACAAACTTAGCCCATTTTTAGACATGGAATCTGTAATGTTGCTGGGTTCATCTATCTGTTAAATAATGCCTTTTTGGATTTCACACAAACACGTCTTCATTCTTCATTCATATCTAAGTATGGCAGATTGTTGTGGATACTCTTGCAATTCTTCCACTATCAGACTTGATAACACAAGAAAATCCCACCAGTTTTAATGCTGGAAACATGAATTATTATTTACTGTGACTTGAATTTATGCCGCTGACACTGCTTAACCATTTGTACTCTATTTTCCTCTAGCCTCGAGTCAGACGTGTGATCCGAAAAAGGTTAATGACAAGCCATGGTTCCACGTGAGGGAGATGCTAATTGGCTGCTGGACCAGCTTCGTCACAGAGGACCAGCTAGAGGTCCACATCCTTAACTTTGCTGACATGGTAAGCACGTCGCACACAAACGAGATGCAGAGGAACCAGTGTGAAAAATGCAAAATCAGCTTGACAGTGAAAAACATGTGAGACACTTGGGAATCTGCCTATTCTGATATGCTTCAGCAAAGAATAAATCGTATATGCTCCTGCAGAAGCCACAAGTCTGTATGATATCAACTTGTTTGCACTGGTTTATCAGATGCGTAGTTCCTTTAGTCTTAAAATAAGTCTTGTACCTTTGCTGTTTTACGATTTTAAGAGCTCCCGACTTAAAACTCATTTCATAAGAATCCTCTGAAATGTCAAAGGAGAAAGTAAATGAGAAACTTACTTCCAGATCCAGAGATGAAGTGGACAGTCACTGTTACTGTGTAGGTTCTTCTAACATCTCTACCTGTCTGCTAATTGATGCACCAAACAGAAGGAAGTGTCTCTGCTTTCCATACATGTTCACCTTGTTGTGCAATGTGGTCGACTTACATCAGAGATTGGCAGGATGAGATGTTAGTGTGCACAAGAGGGTAGAATGAAGGAACACTCATCCATCATCGCTTATCCTTTGAAGGGGGAGCTGGATCCAATCCCAGCTGACATTCTACCACAGGAGGGATTCACCCCCGACAGGTTGCAAATCTCAGGGCCAACATACAGAAACAAACAACATTCAATCAACTTAACCCCAGTCTACATGTCTTAAGACAGAGGGAGGAAGCAGGAGTACCCAGAGAAAATCCCCACAGGCACAGGGAGAACATGCAAACACGGCCAAATCCCGATTTGAACCTGGGACCTTCTTGCTGTGAGGCGACCACTGTCTTACCATGAAGCATTTTGGTACATTTACCTTTACTACCTCTACAAAGGAGGTTATGCTTTCATCAGGTTTGTCTGTTTATTTGTAATTCAGCAGGAGCACTCAAAAACCACTGAACCAATTTCAAGGAAATTCTGTGGAGGGGTAGGTCACAACCCAACAAAGACCCCATTAAATCTTGGAGTGGATCCGGGAATGTTTTCCCCCCTTTCTTTAACATGGAAAGACAGGGTGTTAGCCTTGGTAGAGGAATGCACCCTCCAAGTGCCCGTCAGGTTTTTCTTATACAGTATATTGCTATACATTTAATGTTGTTGAACACTGAAACTCTAACCCAGATTCTGAAATAAATTAGCTGAAATTTTTTTTTCCTCCACAAAAAAATTTAACCAGCTAACCATTACCAGATGTGAGTGATAACAGAAAGATGGGTTTTTTATTTTCTTACACTTAAGAGGCTTTTATGTGTGTGTCTGCTGCATTCCCCTTTTAAGCTACACACACACAGGCCATTATTGTAGATCTTGTATTCGGGCCATTTTGATTTTTAAAACTTTTAAAGGGCTGACACCAAAAAAAAAAAAGGAGCTCCAGAAAACTTTTAATCTGTATGTTGTTATTGCTGTGCCAGACTCCATTTTTCACTGTCCAGTGTTGTCGGTCAGCTCACATTAGTCATTTCTTTATCAGTGTTTGTTTGCTCTCCCTGTTTGTTAGGGTTCTTTATGTAATGCGTTCACACAACTTGTGTTAAGCAACTGCTGTTTATTTATCGTCTTTTTATTTTTTTCTGCTCCATCTGTCTTTCCTTTTCATTTGGCGTGGATTAAGAGAGGCGTAGCACTTGTGCTGTGTGCACTCTATAGCTAAGGCCCCCTCACACCAACTGCCAGAATCTATCACCTGTATAAAATTTATAAAATCCTGTCAGGGTGTTTTCTCTGAATTTAGCGTTTTAAGACTCCACAAAGACATATCTATCTCTCTTCTCATTCCATATCTGTCTATGTAGGGAACACATATCTCAAGAACAGTCAGTGGGGTGGGGCATCATTCTGGACAGAGTAGAACAAAAACGACAGCGACTCTGCAACTTAAAAATCGCCGCCAGATCATTTGATGATTCGCTCAATCTTATTTCTAATTAAAAGCACCATGTTCGTTAAGTTGCTGCAATGTATTATATCAAGCTGAATTATAGAGCTTTTATTTTAAAATGTTGTGAACTGGGGTTTGAAGGTTGTCTCGATTGCTTAGCAGACCTCTGAAAAAGCCGACATGCAACTCAAGAAAAAATAACATCAACTCAATGAATCATTCAAACATATATTGAAGCCACACTCAACATCATTGACTATAAAATTGTCATTGCTGAAAAACTCGGTAGGATGGACAAGGTTTTCTAACTTCACACAACACAGCCTGTAACTTAGCGACAACTTTGTGCGAGCTGATGATTGTTCAGAGAGCCGGGTTTACTGACATGTTGCTGAGATCTTAAGTCTTTTCCATTTAATGGACTAAAATGTTACATCATATTTAATGGAGTGGAAATCAGAGGGAAAAACGCTATTTGATGACAAAATAGATTTAAAGCATATTACTGGGGAATTGCTCCTCTCACTCATCTTATTAAGCCTGAAGTGAAAAAGCAGAAACATTATGCTGTGTGGGAGAAAAATAAATATTTCAGTGCCAGAAAAGTTTGACTCATAGTTTAGAATAAGAGTGGTGGAAGTTGTCTGACAGAAATAGTACAAATTGGTGTGGGGGTTTTGGAGAGTTCATGAGAGGAATTTGACTTTGGAGCTGCGTGATGCATTGGACATGGCACAGTTAGCATATCCTGTTCTCCTGTGGGATGATGAGTAGATGTTTTATCAAATGAAAGAAGATAGTGGACATGAGATCTCTCAACACAGAGTCCTCTTATCTGCTCCGGACTGTTTAGAACAGATTTCTCTTGTAAACACAGAGGTAGGGGGGACATCTTAATCCCTTGCCAAACTGCTCAGTCAGATCGGAGGTTTGCTTCCCATGTCCCATTTGTCCTTTAAATTTTCTTATCACCCTCTTCCCCCATCCCTTTGTTTTCACGCTGATTTACAACCTGCCAGTTGACTCTGTTTGAGCGTGTGGAGAATTTTAGAGGGACATCAAGGGGTTGCATGCACAGGCCGGGAGAATTCATAGGGAGGAGCCGCTCGTATGCGGGGCCATTGATGTCACACGCTGGCTTTGGGTACGGTCGGGGCTCTAGGGCGCGAGCCAGAGACTATACCAACGGAGCCAATTCAAGTTGAGGGAGAGAGCCAAAGAGAATAACTGGAAACTGCATCAGCAAAGACCCGTCAAAAAAAAAAGCTCCAGAGGAAGAAAAAAAAAACCCTGAAAAGAAAAACAATTGTATCTTGAAAGAACAGGAACAAAAGTAGCAAAGGTGAGTGATCTGGGTCGACAGCAGTCGCGATCCAGAGTTCAGAATGAAAGAATGAAAGTCACAAACGAACTAAAGGGAGGGAAAGTAGGGAGGCAGACAATGAAGCTCATTAGAGGATTATATAAGGAAAACAGCAGTGAGTTATCTCCATCTGAACTCTATAGGAAATTACATACTTCTTTTACTGTATGCAACATGATTCAGGTAAAAACAAAGCCGCCTCTCTGGGAAGACGTGTTTCTGAGTCTCTGCCTGTGATAATAACCCAGTCTCTTTAATGTTCCCTGTGTCCTCCAGGCAATCAAGCTACAGAATATTCTTTATTTAGAATAAATGTTTTGCACTCAGGATGGGGAGCGAGTTTCTTATCGAAATGTGATTATTCCCACTGTTCCTTTCACAGCGTTGCACGCGGTTGAAATAATCTGAAACACAGTGTTTTATCACTTTTATTTGTGGAATTATTTTACGACCCCTCCCTCTTTCTGAGCTGTTCTATGGATGGTCCTCTCAGACCTGGGTTGTTCTTTACGACTCTGAAAATGTCCATAGCTCATCACAATTCCCACGCATAAGACTCCTGCAACATCAGGTAGCGAGTAAATTAATTTAATATCAGGATTCACACTGTTTTCCCAGCATGCTCGTTGTCCCCGCAACAGGCTCTGCTCCGAAAACAATCAATCTTCGAAAGTAATAGAAAAAAGTGTTTGTCGTGATGGATGAAAGCAGAAATGTGTAAATGTAAATGTTATATTTCCATTAAAATCTTACTCAGATATTTCCGAAGTTGTTGTTTTTGTCTAATACATTCATAAAGTTTAACTTTTTGAAGTTTTTGGGGCTATTATTGAAGTAAAATGAATTAGTGGTAAGATTAATAGGAATTAATTCTGTCTTTAAAACACAGAGAGATATCAAACTGTGAGAAGGTTTACTAACCAGCACTTTTATGGATAAAACTCAACTTGAAACAGTTTTTCCAGGGCGCAAGTGTGGAGCATGTTAATTAAGGCTGATTCATAGAGTGACTGTGGTGGTGATTAGTGAATCTGTTACCCTCAGCTGAAAATATGGTTAATGAGGTATTACATTATGTGTTAAATGATCTTAATGAGCCTTTATGTACAGTGTGTACAGGACAGTGGGAATACACAAGGTTGCCAATTAAAAACTAGCTGAAATCGTGAGCGACATTATAGGTTTCTCCAAATTCTTCTTCTTATGGTTATTATTTGCGTAAATGCTGTTGGATGATTCCTGTTGTTCGAACTCCAGAGACGATTTTAATGTTATCTTCAATAAAAAAGCGCAGCTCATTCATCACACATCAGGTTGATAATTAATTTTGATAGCTTTTGATTTGCTTTTGACTTGTTTACCTTGTTTTTTGTGCGGCGCAGAGGTGTAATAATAGCCCAGCGCTGCATTACCGCATTAATGTGTCAACTGGAGACTGACGGCCGAGACAGCTCCTTCCTGCCTATCTATACACGCACCGTCATCAAATGAGTGGCACTGTCTTCTTCTGGAGAGACGCATGTTTTGACGTTTCATAGATGCAAAAACAAGGATAATAGTCACATCCGCCACAGATTTTTTTTTAAAACAGGGTAAAAAAAAAGGGAATCAAACTTGTTCAGAATTTTAACTGCAGTCGGAACTATTTTTAAACTTGGTGCTGTGAGCAAAATGTCTCTCCGTCGCATCAACTTGAGGTCTGTTCATTAAGAGGCGCTCCATGCCAGATCGAGAGGCTTCGAAGATTCAAAAACATCTTTATGCCTCTTTAAGGAGGAAATAAATACTGACTTTAAATCAAGATTTCCATCCTCCTATGTGCAGAAAGGTCATAAAAATGACTGTTAATTTGCATGTGAAACGTCTTAGAGTTGTCACACCTTGTGTTGCACTTTATTCAAAGCTTAAATCACATCTTTATGATGTTTTTATTTTTCTAATCTTAGCAGTGAAGTATGAATCTCAACAACATATTGCATTTTAACTGAGCCTGTCATGGAGCCTGTTTCTCTGTCTACATTTATTGATCCCATGATAGCAATATGTGCTTCCAGTTGACAAGGCTGCACAGATGAATATGTTCTTGCATATGACATATAGACATTTTGCACATTTAGCATCATACACCTACCAAAAAAACTCACTGCGGGCAGCACTGTACCTCCCATGTGGACGGCTTCATGGTGTAAGGAAAGGTTTGGGACTAGTTATGAAGACTAAAGCAAGTGGCACCTGAAGATTTACGCCTGAGCCGACCTATCTCTGCACATACATCACAATCATAGACTCCAAACTATTTGGCATTCACAGGAAAATAGAAGATGCAAACTTAAGAAGCACTAAATCTAAGTCAAACAAGTGGGACTGTAAAATGTAAACTTAATATAGATAAAAGACATTCTTGGGTGTATTTCAAAACTTAATGTATATTACGATTTCTAAGATTTCTCATTTCTAGATAGTGGGGTGAAGTGGAGACAGGTTGTCCATCTTTAAAAACAGTCTATGGTCATAATATGTCAGTTGTCACTTTTGTGCGGATGTGAGATAACATTTCTAATAACAATTTATTTTCCCCCCAGCAGAGTCAGGGGATGTTCGCTCTGGAGATGATAAATGCAAAGCCAATGAACCTCATCCTCATGTCGGCCCACACAGTTTACTGTCTAGTCAACATCAACGCTGACGTCAACATTCATGTGAGTCAAATCTCTTTGTGTCTTCATTTTCATATTCAGGTTAACGGATAAAAACACTGATTCCTGCAATAGACCACTAACTCCAGCTCATTTTTCATTACAGTCTGCTGCTGATGCATAAGGCTGTTTTAAACGGTACTAACCAATCATGAAAAATTAATGGGTTGTGGGGTGGCACCATTATAAATGGTTATTTTTATCAGTAATGTTTAATTTTTCGGATTTCTCCAGATGTACTTGTCCAGGACAAATTTCTCCTAAAGGGGGATAATAAAGGTTTATATTTTCCTACTCATGTAGCTCTTGTTTCGTGCCAGCTGTTTGCATACAGTCAAACTGCCACAGCTGTGCAGCTCTGTGAGCCTGTTCACAGAGACAATGAACCATGCTGCTTTTCCATAAGTGCTGGCTGCTGCTGTGTATCAGCCCGTTCTGTGTGTTTTTATTATCTATACTATAAAATCGAGAAGAGTTTTAGCGTGGCCAGCAACGAGAGGGGCTGATGGCATCGGCTGTAAAATTAATGTCTCAATGAACTTTGAGATTCTGACGTTTACACACTGTTCTCACATTATATCTGTAAATTAAATCTGTGGGGCCACAGAACACAAAACTTTTATTCAGCTACTGGACTGTCTATTTAAATTAAGACATAATACTTCGCTGAGGACAATGGGTGGCACGTGTTGTGGTTTGTCAAATTGTTTTTGTATGAACCATATAAGGGGAATCAAACCTAGAAAATATTGTCTTTCAGTTTGACTTGGGACCATCAAACTAAACAGGACATTTTATTAAAAGAGCTGATGGGTCCAAAGGAATGAGATTGTCTAAAACTGTACTTTCAAACTTTCAAACACCCAACATTGATTTGTTTTGGTTAGTCACGACTTCTGGGATATTTATAATAACTGAATTAAACAAATGTTTAAACCATCAAGTGTCTTCAGGTGTTCAAGGATTCTGTTTTATTCTGTCTAACTAATTGTTAGTTTTTGAGTACAGCAGTTTCAATCTTTTTAGCTGTTTCCAATGTCAAAAGGTTTATTAAATTTAAATTTATTTTTACAAATGACTGAATCCCTGAGCGATGGTAAATGGTTTAAATAGCACTTCCAATGTTCTCAACCATTCATTCGCAAACATTCCTACAGCTTTTCTCTCACGAAGGTTGTGCTTTGTGTTTATCTTCCATGTTTGAGTTCATAACACAAATACCTCATATTCAAGACTGTTGACTTGTCTGAGTTTTCCCCCTGGACCAGAATGCATGACTTGGAAAACTTGTCACTATTTTTACTGCTTCAAAACACAAAAATCATTTCAGGTCGTCATGAAATAAAGCTGAATTAATGTAAACTCTTAACCTCACCTACTGTGTGTTGCTGTATTTTCACATTCACATAAGTTAAAACCACTGGAGGACATGATACTTATATTTCAAAATGATTTGATGTGCTTGAAAAGCAGGTCAGCAGATCTGGTTTAGTGGATAAAAAACACATCTCAATAACATAAATCACAGCGGACCAATCAGGATGATGGCATGTTTACAGGGATGTCACAAGCCGATGATACGCTGACAGCAGTTTTAATACCACATCCTGTTTCATGTCCTGTCGAGAGCCTGGACAACGTTGCCTGTGACCGCAGGATGTTTTCGTGGGATGAGCAGTATCACTGGGGGATAATGGTGTTTTACTGCAGATTGCAGCCCAAGAGAGACCCAGCATCTGTTCTGCGTCTAAAGAAAGTTCGTCACCGCCTCTGACAGCTTGGCTCGCTGTCGCAAGCGCAGCCCTTGTTAGACTCCCACAGCTGACCTCAGCACATAGGGGTTGTTTCAAATAGAACACACGTCAACAGCAAGATTTTTGTCCGTAAGGTTTTGTGAATCTTACTTCTTTTTCAATACATCATGCAGCACTGTCCTTGCTGGAAAAGCTGCAGATATTAGTATTGAATGAATCTAATGCTATTGATTAGGGGAGAAGATGAAGCGTGAAAGCAGCAGTGAGTCCAAGGACAGGCTGATGGGAAAGAATCAGAGCTCTGTGTAATCTGCTGTAGATAGAGCTGCTTGTTTCCACTCACAACATCTTCTGGGTTCCTTGAACTTTTCCTGTGAGTCTGCAGAATATCAAACCACTTTTCCGCAGAGAGTTTAATTCAACTCTAATTGCTCAAATGATTACGATTGTTATTTCCCTCTTCTACCCATCCTGCTGTTTGGGTCTCCTCTCCTCCTCCTCCTCCTCCTCCTCCTGTCATGACTGTCTTGCTATTTTTGATCCCGAGTCAAGGACCGATGACTCCCTCAGGCTTACTCGGCTTTCACCATTTTAAGACGTAAAAAACCCACCACACAAATAGTTGAACACACTCGACAGGTCGGGAGAGTGATTCTCATCATTTACACATACTTGACCTGATAAAAAAAAAAACCAGTTGGTTCTAAAATTACTCATCGCACTACCTCCTCACTCCACAGACAAAGAAGGGCGGAATAGTACTAGTCAGAATACTTATGAATCACACTGTATGTGTGCAGCCCATTGTGAAGCCCAAGAATAAAAAAATGAAATAATTAGGCGGAGCACAAAAATGAACATAAGAAGATGAAATAAAAAATGTAATTTAGCAGGACTCATTTGAAATAGGATATTTTTGTCCGATCGTCTCATTGTTTTCATCTATAAAAGTAGCCGCCATTAATTTGAGCTATACAAATTCAGCCTTCGCATTGCTGAAGAAGAGAATGACAAATCCAAGTAAAGTCAATTGATGGTGGAGCCTAAATAGACACAGAGAAAAAGCACTGAGCTGTTATTTATTGTCTTTTTTCTTTTAACATGTGACTAATGGTCTATAGGCCTTCCCCTGCCTTCTTAATCATGCAGCGCTTAATGTAAACCCCTATTATTTCCCATCGGGCCAGACGAGGAAACAGCGGTGTCTCGACGACGGGATAGATGTATATATTTATACCATGTATGGAGCCAGATTTCGGCCGACAGCGGTGACGCACAAAGCTTAAAAAAGGTCCCATTTCCTGGCCCCACTCAGGAAGCAAAGGAAAGACCTTGGCTCCAACAGGGTTGTGCAACTGGGCTCGTGGACACTTAACCATAATAAACATTTCTTTTTAACAGGACCCCGCTTAGAGAATGGAGGGAGAGTCGGGTGGAGGTTTAGGAAATAAAGAGAGAATAAGAGGGATGGGTAAAGAAGTTTGGATGTGTCAACATCAGCGCAGACATGACGTTTATATATTAATAAATACAAAGCTGACTCAGTCATTCCTGTGTTACTGTAGCAATGAGTGACACACACACATTCATGCCTTTTTACGACTGAGACAGTTATGACTGTGTTTCTTTCAGGAAATTGCCTTTTCATGAAATTAACCGACAGGTCATGAACTTCTGCTTTACAGGTGAGCAATAACTCATCGATAGTCATGCATGGTAATAAATATCAGGACAACGTCCACAAGCATGACATCCCCACTCAGGAAGAGGAGCTGGTCAAGTGGGCAACACAGAAGTTTGGCGGCGTGACTTCCTACACCACCATCCGGAATCTGATATCCATCTCATCAACAGGAACGACAGGTGAGAATTGTTTGTGCAACCTGGCTGATGAGTGCTGTTCAGAACACGTTGTTTGGAATGGGTTGTTTGTTTTGTCTGTGGTTATGCTGGTTGCAGTTTTCTCTGTGAAACTGTAAAAGTGAAGAGCTGCAGGACTCAGAATCAGATTTGTAAAACAATTTTATTTGTAAAACACTACACAAGTTTGACAGATGTTCACAAAAAAAATGCACGAGCAGATTAAAAAGATCGGAGAGCAGAGGTTTCACATGTGACGGTGAGTGTAAGTGCAAAGTTTAAGCACAAACAGAGCAAATCTAAGCAAAAGCAGGGGCTATTTGAGTGCAAGAGCAGGATTTTGAGTGAAAGCTTAACAAAATCGGAATGTGAGTTGGACAAGTCCTGCTCTGAATATAAAGACCACTCTTAAGTCAACTCAAACCATTTATATACATAACATGTCCCCTTTTCTAACCTGGAGGAGGTGGGGTTTATCATCTATAGTGCAGCCAGCCACCAGGGGGCTGTCAAGAAACTTTGGCTTCACTATTTTGGGATCAGCCACGTCTATCTTTATATACAGTCTTTGGGAGGGAGTTAATTGCATGTTAACATGCCATACATGAAATGAGGAAGCAGACCAGACAACATGATAGATTTCAATCAGATCACTGAAAAGGACTTTGTCTGCCTTGAAGTGTTTCAGATTTATCAGCCCTGTCACCCGTGATGTTTATCTGGGATATGCTATCTGCGTCTTTGTTTGGTCTCGAACCATATTTTCGATGCTGAAGAGAGCAAAGTAATTACAGTCGGCAAAACATAAATCTCCTGCTTACACAACTCGACGGTGGAGTCTGCGGTACAGTAATCAAGGATGGATTCGGTTTTGTGGGGGCCATCTCTTATCTTACGTGTGCTTAAAAAATTCTCTCTGATGAAATCACTGAGGAAACAGTGTGGGCCTTGACTTTTTTTCAGTCTCTTCATTGCACATGGAGAAACATTTGAAAAGGGAAACCATGAACAAAGGGCCAGCAATGCTGAACGTTCATGGCTGAGTTGAGTCTGGACATTGGGATATTACTGGCTGCTTTTGGCCAGCAGCAGTAGCAGCGGGATGCTTCATGAAGCACAATCATTTCTAAGCAAAGCCTCCTTAAGGCAGTTGAAGCCAAAGCAGAGCTCTGACATGGGTTAAGATGGAAGTGAGCGATTGATCATGCTGGAATAGTTTCAGGCTGCAATCTTTCTCATGTCTGTTTATGATTTCCTGTCCTTCTCCATGTATATTATAGGGATGAACTGAAGCTCAGAGGTTAAAACATTTTCAGCCTTTGACCCCCACATTAAAGTACCAGACACTTGGGACGGACCCCCATTATCCCAAATAAAGGATATTTATTTAAACAAGCTTGCAAAACAAAACACCAAAGTACAAGTCTCTTATGGTGCTGTAAATTGTTTTGCTGCAACTGATGCTATTCTTATTCTTCCATCATTGCTTTGAGCGATGAGGACCCTCAGAGGGTCCTGACCCCAAGGTTGGGAATCCCTTGCTGAAGGTCATGGGTTTAAGTCCCTGATGGCCATATTTCTCTTTTTGCCCAATTTAACTGTGTTGTTTAAATTGCATATTCAACACTCTGTTGTTCAGCCACTCTTAGTTTTAGCTCGAGCTATAACGGGCCCACAGTCCGCAGGGGAATTAAAACTCCTGCAGAAGAAGTTTACATCGCTGTTTCATCATATGTCTCGGCCTGTTTTGGGGTGTTAGGTGAACTCATGTAGGATGTTGTGGGTGTTTGAAAAGTCTGTGCAGTGATTACACAACAAGTCTGCTGCCAAGTGGAGGATTCGCAAAGTAGGTGGGGTGAAAATACAGTATGTGCATATTCCTTGTGGTTCCTTGATCGCTCCTGACATGCTACTGCTATCATGTTGTTGCTAGTGCAATTGAGAAGTGTTAATCCATATTTAAAGAACCATTTTTAATGTAGCTGCCAGGCTGAAAGCCAGCCAGGACATGTGGTGATTACAGTTAGCTTGAAGTTATTCTGCAAGAAATATACTCAACCCATGAAGTTTTGAAACATAGTTGCTTATAACTGATAATTTCCACTGTGTCAACATTGTGGTTACAATATATTCTGATAGTAACAAGTGCCAAACCAATATGGATTTTGGGGGCAGAGGCAGATAAAGATGTAAGGGAGCAAAACATTTCCAAAACCGATATATATTTATTTTTAAAAATTGCTCATGATTCTTTCAATGTCACAATTTAATCCTTATGACAAAGACATTTAATTAGGCTTGATATTTCACAGTTAATCATCAGCTATATTAGAAATATAAAATGTAGATAAAATAGCTCAGTAAAGAAACATATCTACACATCTGATACCGACATGTCTGTGAAAGGGTCATATCTGCCGATATCGGGCTCTACTGCTAACAAATGTCAACTTTCTCAGACAGCTCCTGTTGCATAATCCACAACTTCCCAAACTTGGTTCAAATATTCTGTTGTGAAAAACCCAACCCAGCAGAATAAGCTTCAAATATTCTGTTGGGTATTTCACACTGCTGCGTGTTGTTGCTGGTGTAATGAGGTTATATGAGGTGCAGTGGGAAACTTATATCCCCCACCACTTTCCAGCATTGCAGATTGGGCATTGCACTGGGGCGCAGGTCAAAAGTTGAGTGCAGCACAGTGTTCTCCCATGAGACTCCTCTCCATACACAGAGAAGCAAGGTACTTATGTGTCTGCCCCAGCAGTTTGGTCTCCTGCAGACCGGACTCCCAAGCACTGACCACCAAGTGAAACACTGTAAATTGAGATATCAGTTGTGCCACTGGAAATGGTCTCCAAGAGCACCACTGTTAAATCAATACAAATTACAAGCTATAATTGTTTATTAGTTATTGCAATCACTGCAGCACTGCTGCAATAAAGAGAAGTGCTGGCAATCGGTTTTATGAAGCTTTTGTCTTCTTTAGTAAATGGGATCATGCATACAGGAATATTTTTTGCTCATAATTTTATTTTCCATTACAAACAACAAATGAACAACGATAAGAATTTAACTTTTTCTTTTTTTTTTACAGGAACCAAACCTGGGTCTCGTCATTGTGTGCTTAAAAGTGAAGATGCATTAGAGAAGCACTTCATGGAAATTACCACCCAACCTCTTGCACACTCGCTCTTGTCGTGCTCACCGCAGCAGCCGAAGAACCCAGCGGATGACACCGAGCTTCACATCATTAACATCCCAGAGAATGCGAGCATTAGGTAATCCTGGAGATTCACCACATGTAGTGTTGTTTCTATTGTCTGGTCTTGTAAGCAAACATGTAATGTGTGGTTGTTCGTGTTGCAGCAATGTAACACTGCGTGTTGACATAAAGAAGATCAGGGTGTTCCTCAGGGGTCCTCAGGGAACGACGTGGATCGTCCTCAATGCACAGTACACCCAGTTTGGTGTAAGCACACACACACACACACACACACACACACACACACACACACNACACACACACACACACACACACACACACACACACAGTAGTTATGGCTCACACAGTTATCACATTTATTGTCCCACACCAGCACGTGTGAGACAGGATTCTTAAAGAGGAGAGAAGCTGCTCTCTGTGATAAAACTGTTGTAAATAGTGCTACATCTCTCTGACTTCTTACACACAATACGTTTTCCCACTTCAGTGGAAATGATTGAGTGATTTTCTTGAGTGACACAGCCTCTAAATGCGAGCGCGTCTTCCCTTTTCCACAGTCCAACAATGACATCCTGCTGCCCACACAAAGAATCTCGCCCTTGCACACGCTGACCAGTGACAATGCGAGGGATGTGCAAAGGAAGGCTTTAGAGGTTTTTAAAGTCAGCACTTTCACCAGCTACACTGAGCTCAGACCAGTGAACCCCACAATCATACTGGTCCTTGGGAAAAATGACGACCTGGAAGGTAAGACATTGAAAGTTAAAAATTAGTTTTGAAAGGGCATTTTAGAGCAGATGCCGTGAAGTCATAGCCAAGCATATAATACATGTTACACAATCCTAGAGATGAGATCAGGAGGATAATGACTGCTTTAATAATAGTCAAAGTCATTTCCACCATCATCATTACTGTTTTCACACTATTACTGCTATGCACTGTGTTATTGTACATACACTGTGTGTTGTGCTGCAACTAGAATAACTCCTTTTAGGCTTTTAACACAAAAAAGTACATGAACAGATTGGTTTATATAAGATGGTTTATTTTTTTGTTCCTCTCTCAGTTACAAATTCAACACTTGGACCAATCAATTCAAGCACAAGCAGCAGTCCTCACCAGATGCCTCTGCTGATGCAGCTGTACTCCTCGCCAGATTACCGCTCTCCCCTAGACGCCAACACCAAGGTATACAGCGACAAGAGAATTTACGCTGAGGTAAGAAATCATTTATCTTCTATTTATTACAAAATATAGTCTTCATTACTGTAGGATGGCACTCAGTCGAGTCCCCTTAATCAAAATTCACCAAATTTGACACACTCATAGAAATCAGTTCTCTAAATGTGCCTGATTTTTTGATTTAGTCAAGATCCATGAATGTTCTCTGGGAAATTTCTGAAAATATTGGAAAAGCCAGATTTTGCAATGTAAAAGAAAATGAAATTTAATATGTTCCTCCCGGACTTATACCAAGTTTCATACAAATCCATCCAGTAGTTTTTGCATAATCTTTTTGCCTAAACAGACAAATGGAGATGTGAACACATGACCTACTCGGCAGATGTTTCTATACTCAGATACTACAGATTCTTGAATTTACATTCTCTCACAATTAATGTTGCCTTCTCTATGTCCCCTGTAGATTTCAAGTCACACTTTTGGGGACATCGCCTTGACCATCAAGGTGATCAGCTGCTTCGTGTACTCTAAGGATTCATGCCCTGTAGTAAAAGAACTGCCCTTCATCCCGGAGTCCTGCTCCTCCAAATCCTGCCCCAACAGCATTCGACTCAGCTTCTCTTTAGATCAGCTCCAAGAGCTGACGTCCACCACGTGGGACCTGGAGTGCTCCGTCAAACTGTGCTACTTTGAGGTGGGGGTTCATCAAGATGAAAAAGCTTTTAATCTTAAGTTAAAGGTTACATTGGAATTAGTAAAGCGATTTAAAAATATGCATAGCCTCTTTCATTTTTTAATTTGTCAATAAGTTGTTTTCATCTTGTTCTCACTAGAAATGTGGAGATGGAGGAAAAGTGAAGGTGGAGGTTACCCAGCCGTGTCTGCAACCACCAAGTGAGTTCAGTTTAAACTCCAAAATATAAACCAGTTCATTTTTTTCTCTTACTCTTTTTATTGTTCTCATGGAAGCAGATGATACAGTTTTGTCTTAATTCAATCTTATAATTAAATTTCTGACAAAAACTAACACGGGAACCTAATTGTTTTCACAACAATGAAACTGCAACGAACAAAATAAATACTTAAAGTTTCACTCTGTGAAATGCTGTCTCCACATAATGTTGTCTTGATCATGACCTTGAGTTTAATTTACATTTTTTTTTAATTTTGTCCGATGTTCAGCCAGTACATTGCTGCCCGCTGCTTTAATTTTCATGCATATTGTTGCTGTCTGTGCAAAACAAACGCTGTGCATGGCGGTTGTCATAGCAGTGGACTCAGGATATGCAGTGAAGCCGGTGAGGGGGTTTCAGGCCAGAGCCTTGTCCTTTAGGAAGGTCTGCAGAATGACCTCGTGACCACAATTAGAAGTAATGGTCGTCTGGGGAGGGAGGTGAATTCCTTTGTGTTTCCAAGTGGGGCCTGACTGTGTCACTGTCCAAACACAGCCAGCCTGGTTCTATTGTCGGACCATTCAACACAGACGACTCGAACTAGGAAAGATGCTTTTGGACTAATGACAGAAGTCTCCAGACGGGTGATTAATCTTGAGGAAAATACATTTCTAAGCAAAATAGAACAAGAAAGTCGACGCTGCGTAGAAGAACACCTGGAGTTTGTTCTTTGTACGAATGATAAAGGGATTGTTTATTTTTAAGCTTTATTCTGCACGCACAGAGGCTGGTGTGTCTGTGTTGCTGCGTGTGTGTGTGTGGTGAGGAAGCTGACTAAACCACTCATCCATACCTTCCTGTGTCCTGTTGTGTGCAGTTAGAAAATGTTTTTCTGGCGTGGCTGAAACACAGGAATGGAAGGAAAATGCTGGTTGGGTAGCTCTGCTTACGTGGTTTCATTCTTTAGTCGGTGTCAGAGATGCAAGGGTTATATCAGCAGGGCGAGGGGGCTGCATTCTGCCTTCACTGGGCAGGGCTGAGCGCTCCATTCAGCGATCCTTCCTGTTTGGTAGCTTTCATAAAGAGGGCTCCAGGGAGCCACGGCACAGGCCTGCTGCCTGTCTCCTCCTGTCCACCTGCACTGGAGCTTCTGCTTCCTGCTCCTGTTTATTCAGCTTTGCTGTCAAAGGCTCACTAACACAGCCACTGATTGCCTTCAGAAAAAAAGAAAAAGTCTCAAGAGGAAAAGCACGATCACGCTGCTGTGATGTTTCTCCCATTCAGGGTCAAGGAATGTTGCTCACTGACACGACAAAGTGGGTTGACAGATGTAGTTAGTTCAAACAGCCACAAGGTGTCCCTGTTTCAGTGCTGAGTTGCGTTTAATTCAGCTGGTATTTTTTTCATCAAATAAGCATATTATTGTTATTAAATTACAAAAAAAAAAGAATTCTACTTTTGAGTGACATTACACTTTGTAAATCCAATTTCAATTATGAATGTTGAGATATTAGCATGAAATGATGTAATCTAGGCTCACACAGTAGACATGCGTCAGTTATTCAAATGTGCATGACGCACACAATGGTGGAACCTTTCTACCAAATCAAACCCTCTGTCATTAGTGTACATCAGTACATGAGAGCTCTGTTGTATGATGCTCAGTGATGTACTGAGACTCACACTTCCCACCAGGAGGCAGGAGGCAGGTGAGAGAAACTCATGCAAAGGTGATGATTAGTTTCTTACGAACGTTGCAGATACTTGTGGGAGCATCTCTACAACCTTTGCATGTTTTTTCATAATATCATTTCATAGTATGCACACATGGATTATGTTCCAGTGGGGACTGTGGACTGCTTTCTTGTGTGCTAAGAGACAAAGTTGTGTGCGTGTGTAGCTCCTTAAGTTCAGATTCAAGTCTGGAGAAAATTTAACAGCCTGTTCTCATACACTGAATACTGATGCTGCAAAGTTTAGATCTGGTTTGTGTCGATTAAAAAAAAAAAAGATTTCAAAATGATTTTCAAGGATGTTTTTTTTTTCAGCTTAGAAATTGGAAGCAGCAATCAATAGGTGCCCAGTGAGTGGTTTGTTTGTACAATCAGTTGTCAGAGCAGTTTAAGGTGATGCCTGAGTGAAGGGGAAAACTGTCAATGATCTATTGTACAGCCTTCTCGAAATGACGTACGTCTCAAGGTGATCCGTCCACAGCCTCGCCGGACCACAATGAGTGGAGTAAAATTGTAGGTTGGCCTTGCCAGGCTTATACAGTCTGTCTATGCCACTGTGTTGTATGTCAGAGGCTTGATCAAGTTTTAGTGTTTGTGCCCTGTTCTCTTTCTCTTTCAGAGCTGCTCCGAGGGAAAGTGATTTTTTTATTGCCTCTGGCTCTGAGTTTTATGTTTTCTATTAAGTCTGTTAGCAGAGAAGCACATTGTGCAGGGCGAGCCAGCACAGGGCTCAGCCCAAAGAACATCGCCAAATGCATAACTTGATTGTAAAGTGAAATTTGTATCATTAAATTAGAAAAGGGGAAATGATAGAGTACAAATTTACTTTTTTTAAATTTCTGTTGGGGTGAGGTCACCCTGCAAAAGTAATGACTGTTATATTTTCTACATGGGCCTTACTTGTGCTGTCATGGTAACGAGGAGATGGGGGGGAGGCAGTGTTAAAGAGCCACGCTTCTGCTTGTACACATCATTTAATATTTGACATAACATCATTTTGAAATCTGTATCATAAATCTTTAAACTAACTGTTGAGGCAGCTGTTGGTTTCAGCTTGCAAGAAAATCAGCCTGTGTCGGCGTGCAGCTGTGGTGCTAACCGTCCTTCGCGTTATTTCATCAAAAGTCATTAAATAGTCAGATATAAGAAAATATTTTTTGTAGCTAATTGTTCAAGCGGGACGATCATAGAACACGAGAATTTTTTTGACAAAGAATTCCCCGTCTACAAGAAGTAATGTATTTGATTCTTAAGAGATGAATTATCCCCACCTCCTCCATGTTTTTTGCTGTTGTGTAACTGAAGCTTGCATACATTGTGTTTTTTTAATGTGTATGTTTCAGCCCCACCGTGCTTTGATTTCGGTCTACCTGGTGTCCTGGGCATTGCATTTGGAGGGTTCCTGATTGGCGTTTTACTTATTGGAGCACTGTGGTTCATCAAAATTAAAACAGGTAAATGTACAGTTAATAACAAAGTGAAGATACAGCAGATCTCGTTTTATATTTATTTGAATTCCACATCTGCTCATTCTGCTTGATTCAGGATACCCAACTGGATTAGACATGAGCACAACTGCAGCAAGTCTTCCAGGTAAGACATTTTTTTTAAATCTCTTTTCTTGCCCTTTCATCAGTTCTTTCCTTGTTATCATGTTCTCATAGTTTTTTGTTCTCCTTTTTCTTCAGGATGCCCCTGCTCAGGTGCCAAACGACAACCAGTTTCGAACAACCCTTCCCCCTCTGAGAACAGCAGCGCTAACGCTAGCATCGGAAGCACCCAAAGCACGCCGACCAGCAGCATGGCATGAGATTATGCTAATCTGCACCACCAGCAGGGCCGCCGTCTCCCCTCAAAGTCACCTATATGGGTTTTGTGCTTTTGTTTTCTTCAATAATGCTTGAGAAGCATTTATCCCCTATCCTGCCCTCTCGTTAAATTCAAATAATATTAAAAAAAAGCACAACCCACCGGGCCGAGGTGACAGATAAACAGAAGTCTAATCTGTGGCTTCTGACGCTCACCTCTGTAGCTTCTCTATCAAGCTCCTGGACAGGAAGTTAAAGAGGGCAAGAGAGAAAAAAAGGCTCCCAGCAACAGGAAAAACAAACCACATCCCCCAAGAGCTAACAGGAAATTCACCGCATTCCTTTCAGTGAATTGTGCTTGTGTGATGGCAGCACAATAATAGTCAGACAGGAGACAAACCAGTCAAAAGCTTGACTTTGAAAAACAGATGAAAAGCTGTTTTGCTATCACATCTAAGCCGCCAAAATTTACAAAGGGCTTTAGTTAGGTCAGTCCAAAAAGTTATCAACAACACCTCGGGGGACTGAGAGGGTCGATGTGTTCGAATCTCTTGGTCAATTAAATGCTCACTTTGAGGGGTATTTGTCCTAATTGGAGTTCGAGGTCAATAGTTACCAGCTACCTCCTATTGCTAAGAAGTCTGGGGCTAAGTTTTAACTTACCAATGGATTTCTCTGCTGAATTGAATCTTACTTTCTGCCTTTTTCATGTTTTTTTTAACTTCACAGCTCACCCGCTGGGTCATTTGTAGCTCACAAATCTAAAGTTATGGTGCCATTTTCGTGCTATGCAATAGCGGTGTCGGGGAGTCCATATTGAAATAGTAACCCCATGGCTTTTTTGGAAGTTGGAGGAACATTCTTGATTCTCTAATCACCCAAAAAAACCAATCTAAAATCTTGTTTATGGCCAAAAGGTAGCAATAAACCATTAGGAATAGGAGCTTGGAAATAATCACTCATGTAATGTGCAGTATGGAGATGTATGGCTGTATTCAGAGCTGAGTAATGTGCCTGTAAGGAGGAGTTAGCACATCAGTTTTCAGGTTTCTATGTGGACTCATGCAGCTGCACCCACTGGGTGGAGTTTCCCTAAAATAGTCTGTCTGGGGGTTGAATTCCAGTAGTTTTCCTCTGGTCATTGTCTGGTCTCTTCAGGATTAGTCCATCACCACTTCCTGATGATTTGTTGCAACCATAAAACTCAAGCCTGTGATAACACACACATACAAAAATAGAATCTTAACGTGTTGCGTTTAATTCTTTTCTGGCCAACTGAATCACCAGCCTTGCCTGCCCTCCAAGGTGCAGCTGTTTATTGTGCATAAAGCATCACTCTTCTGCTTATTAAGAAAGCAAGACTTTGACGTTAAATGTGGTATGAACTGTCCAACCTTCACGTTCATGTTCAATGTCATTGTGCCACTAATTGCAGCTAATGCTCCGCTCTGTCTCTTGATCGGAGACGAGTCTGCGGAAGGGAAAAATAATTTTTAGACCTCTAATGGACGTTATTGATCAGCTCGCGGAGCTTTTCTTTTTGATGAACAAGCACACGTTGATACAGGCTGAAGAGTCCCCGCCTCAACTCCTGGAAAAGTATAGGTACACACAAAGGGCTGTGATATTATACGATTGATATTGAGCATTTCTTAGAAATTAGAAAAATAAATGTGTGCAATTATTTTTTCAATGAATAGTTTTGGTCTATTGAGTTTAAGCTTCTCCGCTTTTCTTTAAGCTTTAAACTCGTCCCCAGCTCTGAATACAGCTAATTAGCACTCAATGGTATAATCACAAGCAACAACATTTTTTATGTTCTGTTTGCAACAATACATTAGTCAGTAAAGATAACTGCTTTAATGCAAACTACTTTTAAATATTGTGGCTTTAATTTCAGCTATACTGAACATTTTTAATTATATGGAAATCATTTGAGAAAAATTGAGTTTGATGTTAAAGATATCAACTTTTCTTGCTATATGTGATTGCTGACATGCATGAGAGCTTGCATGATGGGGGAATTCCACGAGGGCTGCAGTCCTAGAGTGACGGTTGATCCGTGAACCCACTGTTTCTTTCATTTCTATCAGTGTAAATGTATTTTTATATTTTTACTTTTCAAATATTCCCATCACATGTCAAACCTCTTGATTAAGCAGGCAATCCTTTCAAATAGTATCAACAATACAAGAAGCACCAGAATTGTGAAAATGTTCTTTATATACATTTTATTTACTGATGCATATATATATTCACATGCCATTATAGTTACTCACCTCCTCTTTTTTGATTGTTTGAATAATTTATTCACCTTCCAAGCTAATCTTAAAACAGTTGAGTGTTTTCCAGACCAACGACATTTGTGAAATGTCTCCTCATTGTATGTATTTGAGCTCTGTAGCTTATTCCTCCTTGTGTGTATGTGTACGTTTTCCGTACACTGCAGATTTTCTTTGTGTATCCGTGTAGAGACCGAACAAAGAGGGCCAGTACAAAATGCCACTTGAGTATTTGTGCAATATGATGAGGGTAACTTGTATGTAGTGTCTATATGTACTTTTAATTATGTTTTTTTTTGTAAGTGTTGTATGATATGCTTATTTTTCTTAACCTGCTTCCCTCTCTTATGTATTTGAAGAACTGGGACTATCTCTAATCAAGGCACTTATCAAATGCACAGGAGTTGTTTTGTATAGTTTTTAAAGTCCTCATATTGATTGGTGTTTTTCCAAATTACATAGCAGTCGCAGACAGTGTGTGTCACAGACAGTAAATTCGGTTTGTTTCTTTTACCCCCTGTTTGACCTGTCTTGGCCTCTTTGTCAGATTCCCCCCGCGGCCCAAGAACACAGCGTATCTCCGCAGATGCTGACATCCTGACATTGTGTTTGTGCATTGTGGTGTCCTCAGTGGGTGTGATGGAGAAGGAGAATGTTGAAAGACAGAATGTCTCATCGCAAAGTAGCATCTCAGTTCAGTATCCTGGTGTTGTTTTTACTACACTTTAAAACTTTTTGTGAAAAATGCAGTACTGATTTTTTTCATTTCATAAATTGCAGCAAATTAGACACATTCTATATATTTTTGTTGAAGGTCAGGTATTCAAGTAGGTAAACATGAATATAAAATGAAATTGTTATTGTCATTGCCTCTGTCCACAGCTTCCTCCTCAGGCGATCTACACACAGTTAAGGAAATATACGCATGTGTGTTTGTGTGCATATACATGATATATGTAGCACATTTATGTGTGCATGCTCAATTGTGTGAGTGACTGTGTGTAGGTGTACTGTATGCCTACATTTCTGTCTGCATATTTTTCCTCCAGTCTTTTGAAAATGTTTGGAATCCTGAATTTTTACTAAGAAAAACTATGAAGCCAACAAACCAAGTCTGAATGTCTGATTTGATTTTGTAGTAGAAGTATAAAATGCAGTGTTATTTTTATGCCAATATGCAGCCTTTTACCATTTAAAATGGGTCCAATATGTGTTGAGATAGTATTCAACTGATGTCATGTATTTTTATATTGTCTCTGAACCAAATACTGTATTAGATTTCTCTGGAATTATCATAATAAAGTGAATATGACAAACCTTTGTCTTTGGATTTCCTGATGTCTCCGTTATTACCTATAGCCCATTGATAGCAGCAGTTAAGTATAGGAAGAGTGAAAATTATACTGTGTGTGTTTAATCTGTTCTAACCCGAGCGTTTGACTTATATTCTTGAGAAAGCTGCAGGTAGTGGAAATGCCCAATCATTTGTCTTCTCGTGTGATTGATGACCTGCTCTGTCTGAGCTCCTTCTCTCAACTCTGTTTTGATTTGACACTTCTACATTCTTACTGGCAATGTGAAGAGACATTTCAAAACATTACCAACAGAGATCGTCACTTAGTTCAAAGTCACCATTTAAGTAGTGGATATTTAAAATTAAGGTTAGTTGTGATGTAAAATGTTGAAGCAGGATTTGTTTTAATGAAAATGTTATTTTGCACATTATCTGCATAACAACATACCAAGCCACATGTATGCCACTTATCAAACTTATCAATATAGTTATAGAATATAAAATATACTGCTATTAAGTATAGTACAGTTAATTTTTAACCCTTTACTATATAAACAAATATGTAGCACATAGCATTTTATTTTTCAATTATAGTTATAACCTACCTACCTCTATACTTAAAACAGTCTATATTTGCATATATGTATATGTTCATTTCATTTCTCCTTCTACTCATGTACAAGTTTGCATCCTTGTGTAGTCATCCAGTACAACTGCACTTTACTCAAGTACATTTATCTAATATTTCCATAGTGAAAGGAAGATACTTTGTAAGCACTCTCTGGATATTTCTTCTAATTTTATTTCTAATCTATTGCCTTCATTTTGTTCTTAATTGATTTATCTTATATTGCAGCTGATTGAAGTGGAGCTATTTATAATCGATATACTGTTGGGTAGATTACCTATATGTGCTGTATATACCAAGATTATTTTAGGTTTGTGTATAACAGTGTCATCTGTAAAGAAACTAACAGCAGTTGTTGAATACTTAAATAATACACAAAAAATACAAAAATGCTTCCCAAAATGAGTTCCATACAAAAGAAAAATAGAAAGTATAATTACCTCACATGTTATTTGGAGGGAAATTCTCTTTGTCATCATGGACAGTGAACTGAATGTGTCATCTGTCTTTTCCTGTGAAATCCTGTTATTCAAATTCTATAATAATGTGGAGGATGCTGTCTTCACATCTGATTCAGCAGAGCTTGACTCATGACTAACCTGAAACAAAGGGCTCGAAGAGTAGAAAACATCATTGTCCATTTGTGTGTTATGAGTCATGTATGTAACCTTAATTGTTGGGTGAAATGATGAACGGAATGGTGTTTTCTTTCTCTGTCTGCAGCTTTTCCGCAGGTTTCAAGTCGTCTGTTTTAGATACAAAATTCAATCATATTTTCAGGACTGGAGCCAAGGCACACAATAAGCGTTGGAAGCCTTTGGCCTTAAAGGATACACAATGTGACACGTCTGTATGAGTGTATGACTGAGCGTGTGTGTGTGTGTGTGTGTGTGTGCGTGTGTGCTTTCCTGTTCAGGTTGTTTACATCTGAGGATGAGATTAGTTTTTCTTCTGCAGAACTGTGAAACCCTCCTATTCAGTAATCTAAGCTGATGAGATGAGTTTACTTAGTAATGTTAATGGTAATTGGTGATGGTGTTGGTTGCCCACATTCTAACCTGATAATGAAAAATTTGGATTAGAAGTAGTAAACAAGTACAGAAACCCCACAAACCAAAGCAAAATGTTTTCTTTTAAATATCTTCTCTAAAAACGTCTTGTTTTTCTCTCTCCTTAAAAGTTCTTGGAGAAAAGATGATGATTTTTCTTAAGACCATTTCAAATGATCCAGTATCGTTGCCTGAAACGTGGAAAATACAGAAACAAGAACTGAGTTGTCCCTTGCATAGATTTATATTGTTTTTTTTTGGGGGGGGGGGGGTTAATTAAGTCAACAACACCATTAATTATTGAATAATTTGCTGACCATAAATACTGTTGGTTTCCATCTCTCACTCAAGGCAAAAATATGGGAATGGGAGACAAATGGCAGTTTGACAGTGACCCCATAAAGGTCATGTGTTTAATCATGTGTCCTGAAGCGCTGCATATAGTCCTCCACGCAAACTGTCACTTGTGTAGAGTTGACCAACGACTGTGCTGAAATTGAAAAGATAAACTATCGCGGTACAGTTTTCATTATGGTGCTAGATATGCTGGCAACGCTGCATAATGAATGGCTGCAGGGGGAAACAACCCATAACATTTAATTACTCTGATGAATGTTTTACTGCCGACGACCACCAGATGGGGCTGTATTTTTTAAAACCATTTTTCTCTGAATGCAGATTTTATAGTCTATTAACAGAAGAAGACAATGAGCCCCTTTGTAAAAGCGAAGCACTGAGCAAATCTGCTGAGAGAAGATCGAACGAAATCATAAGTAATACTGTGCAGAAGCAGTGAGAATATGAAATGGAACACCGGGCCTTTACATGCAAATACATTTCTGCCCATCACATATGAACAGTGCAACTACTACAATCTGATATGCACATGAATGTTTTTGCACAATGCTTATTTCATATCATCACGCGTCTATATGGCCTATTTATGCACCTTTCTGACAATCAGGTGAACAAATCTGTGACTGATCCTGACATGAAGCCTATAAAGCCTCGAGGGCATGTCGAATTCAGGAAGCTATATGTGAGCACAAGTGAAGCTTCTCGGTGTAAGCCTCGTCTCCCTCAGACTTTCACACCCCGAGGCGCTGTGCTGCACACAAGGTTGTTTACGCGCTCTGAGACGACGTGCAAGCCGAGCCCAGCTCACCCACACTCAGACATTCACTCTCTCGCGAGCACCTGTACACTTGCCAGCACCTCATGGAGTGGACCAAGGTAATCCTCCAACTTATAGGCAGTGCTGTGCGCTCCAAACAAAACCTTGAAAAAATGCAGACCCCTCCGGAGCTGACATGTGGCCCGATCACCTCAGAGGTGATAAAAACATGGCTTTTCCCTCATTTTATTTTTGCTTCTTTTGCATCTAAGTACAACCAATGTGTTTAATGAAAATATCCTTTTGAGAGCTGGACATTCGCTGTAATGTGAATTTGCATTACTTGCAATCAACACATTTTGGTTAGGCAGATTTTTCTGTTTCCTAATTCCTCGTGCATGAAAGTGTAACCTTAAAGTGAATTTCAGGAGCAGCAGGTGGATGCTTTTCTTCCCTGTTTGCTATTTTGTGATTCGGGCTGAACATCCCCTGCATCAAAATGAACATGGGTCCGCTCCAGAGAAGGAAACGAGATGCAAACTAAAATGGCACTTGGCAGAGCACATGCTTCCACCAAGGCCAAACAACCAGACATTCCTACAACACACAACAATCCCGTCTATTCATTTAATAGAGAAATAAAAGGAAAATGAAGTAGTCTGATGTTTTATTTTATTTACAATCAATACACTTTTTCCTGATAAAATTGAGGAGATTGCCAGATTCTGCAATTCTAAGGAAAGGAAATGACAGGACTGGATATGAAGGGAAAGGAAAAGAAACACAAGGTTAAGGACAGCAAAGGAAAAAAAGAGAGAGAAGAGGAGAGGAGAGTATAGGGCAAGAAAGGAGAGGAAAGGAAAAATAGTGCCCCTTTATCCACAGCAAAATTTAATTGGTTGTCTTTTGGCTCATTCCCAAACCACCAAGTTTAGTGCAAATCGGTTCAGTACTTTTTTTTCTTCCTCAATTCTGCTCACAAATAAACAAAGAAAACGTGCACATTCTGCAGTACAGAGTTAGGATATATAAAGGTAGATTTTATATAGTACTCTTACACCATATAAGCAAAAGCAATCCTGCTTTCCTTCCACAGCCTCATCCCACCTTTTGTTTTCAACGTTTTATAAGATTAATGCATTTCCTTTACGTATCGACTGCTAGAGCAACAATGAGGGTACTGAACAATTTCTCCTCGAACTTCCTGCCTGATGATCCAGCTGAAGCGTAATTGGCCGCAGCTAAATGCTCTGCAGGTATTTTTTTTTTCTTGCTAACTGCCACAACAGATTATAGTTTTCTCCGGTAGCTCTCTCCCTTACCTGGTTCTTCATAGAAAACTTTAGTGTTGGGATGTTGTTTTGCTCATCATGTGTAACTGGATGTAACTAATCCACTAAAACTGGCTGGTTTAACTTGTGACTCTTGGTTGACTCTGAACACTCTGGTAAACATCTCATGAAAAAAAAAAACTAAAACTAACACCTTGTGGTTGTATGCCTCCGCCAACCAGTGCAACTTCAGTCTCCATTCATGGCTGTTCCCTGACTTTGCATTCACAAGACCAAAAACTTGTTTCGTGAGGTCACAGCAACCTTGACCTTTGACCATTCAAATCTAATCAGCTCATCCATGAGTGAGTGAATTTTGCAAGATGTCATTAAAATCCTTACATTCAGTATTGATTAATCACATTCACAAGAACATGAGATCACTGTGACCTTGACTTGTAGCTTTTGCAAAATAAGACAGAAAACACACAACAGCACATGGTAGCATCGTGCATTAAACTATTGAAATAATGTCAGATGTAATGGCGTAACATTGTGAGTCATTATTGGGCTATGCTCTGTGACATGTAAACGGAAATATAAATAAAATTATATTATTATATAAGCAACTAATGTAATGTATTGCAATCAAAATAATATCTTAATTGGATTAAGGTCAGTAATTGGAATATTGGTGTCCATGGAAACACAGTCATTGTTAACGAGAGTGAAAATTAAGCAGCAAAATTAAATTAGTTCTTTCTTGGCCCGTGTCCCATTCTTCCACTAAGTTTAATGGAAATCTGTTCAGTAGTTCTTGCATAATTCTGCTGACAAACAAATTAATACACACATGAACCAACCAACTAACCAACCAACCAACCAACCAACCAAGATTATCTCACTACAAAATACCAATAAGTGATTTAAGCACAACAGCCTGCCTTTTTA